TATTTCTTGATGACAGTATAATCAAACATCATTGGCCAAACTAAAATTCAAATCACACCTGGAATCTCGTCATCCATCTTCTACCTCTTTATTCGTGTTTTCCACTGGGCTGCAGCCAATCCCAGCAGTCATTGGACAAAGGGTGAAGGGGTGGAGGGGTTGGACAGTTTCCAGCCCATTACAGGTCTACATAAACAACCATTCACACTCCCATTCATACCCACGGTCAATTTAAAGTGTCCAATTATTGAATCATCAATCCGATGTTTTTGGACAGTGTGAGGAAGCCAGAGGTAGAAGGTACAATTCCCATACAGAAAGATCAACTGTAACCTTACATTCATTGTTTACTTTATTAACATTAAACAGATTGTGTAGCTTTTACCTGTAATAGTTAAGATTCATTATATAAATGTTTAAAAATAACAAGTCTAATACAATGATATAATGTCTAAAAAAAACAAGTCTAATACAATGATATAATGTCCCAAACAGAGCTATAACTAAAGGCAAAGGATCGTGACATTTCATTTCTCAGCTGAAAGGGGGCGCCAAATATCAGCTCATCAGTCCAGAGTAAATGACCCTTTTGTGAGACCTTGTTTATTTTACGATGTTCTTTGTAAAATTGGAACTCCAGTGACGTTGCATTTGCGCAATGTAGTTGTAAATCTACTCTCCCCCTGTCTCCCCCCCCTCCACCCCGCACTCCCCTCTGTCTCACCCATCTTTGTAAAGTGTAGTGCTGTAGTTTTACAGCTTTACTTAATTAACAGACTTGGTGCTTATTTGTACTCGTTTCCAGTGTTTGACTTCATGCAGAAGGATACACAGAAGTATCCTGTAGCCATTTCTCCTCATGTGTAATACTTTAAAAAAGAGAGTAAATGTATGTAAAAAAATACACACTTTTTTTTAAAACTCAAATTTAAGTGGATTCCAAGACATAACCCTGCAGGTTCAACTGTAGCTACAGCTGTGGTTTTAGTAGTTCATTTTTCATGGCAGACATTTTGAAAGGACACACATTTAGATGTGTAGATGTTTCATACTTTGCAGTGTCTTTTTCCCTGAACATGTCAAAATATTATTTAAATGATGTTTGTTTGTTTTTTGTAAAATAACAACATTCTTCTTTGTATTCAGTTATATTCATAAATAGCTTATGGAACAATTAAGCTAATCAAGTCTCATAATCAAGCTACATGAGTTAACCTAATTAGCCAGGAAAAATGGAGAAAATTACAGAAGGGCCATAACACTATTGGAATTAAAATGAAGTCATTAACACACATTCAGAAACAATAGACTCAATTTACTGACATTTTTTTGATAATTTTCCTTCATAATAGAAACAGACTGATCTAGGCTGCAGTCTCTGATGTTTGCATTTTTAAAAATGTACATTTGAACATGATCATTGAAATAAACACAGGAAAGATTATTGAAATTGTTTATTGACGGTGCAGATGGGGCTGTTAATGTACTGGTAATGTGGTACTTTAACCACAGATGTTTGACATTCCTCGTCCACAGCTGATACACGGTTGTTGGTAATGTTCTTTACCAACGGGAGAGTCTCAGAATGATTCTTTCCTTTTCCCTGGGTATGTAACAACCGATGCCTGCAAACGAGACAGATGTGACATGTTACTGTTACACTGCTGTTACGCTTCAGACTTCATTGTTTTTTAGCACTGATTACGGTACGTTTGTCTTTAACAGTTTTTAAACACCTAAAGTGCACAAAAAAAGTATAAGATTGATTGAGAAAGTCTACCCATGTGAATGACACCAGGAAAAGCAGATGTTAAAAATCCACAAACTTATCAACACAAGGTCAGCAGAAACTTACCGACATCAGGTCGTATGATTTTGCCATCTGGAGTCCTGACCAGGAGTTCCCAGTAAGTCCTGTCTTCGTCACTCCCAGCCAAACCATTCACACTCTCCAGGTAGGCGCCGTAGTCTGGATGTTCTGTGGAGGTAAATCTGCAGGACAAGACAACTTATATATATATATAAATACGACTTATATACAAACCGCTTTACATCATTGCAGCTGTAAAGCTAATGTATGTCCATTCACTGAAAATCTTAAAGAGAGAAGTTGTCGCCAACAAACTTGATTTACACCCTGTTCTTGGGTTAGGGTTTAAAAATATAAATGTAAATGTATATATATATATATATAAAATACTGTGATATCATATATTATATTTCTTCCTAGTATTTAACTAGTGTTTAGCTGCTCTGCCTTGTTTTGTCCATGCATTTTTACCAGATCCCACTGTCACACCCTAAACCCTCACCACAGCTTCATGAACATTCACCGTAGGGAGACAGACATTGTAATGGTCATACGTGAAGCCTGCGTTGGACTCCATGAGTCTCCTCAGTGCGCCAATGAGGATCCCGCGGTAAGCCACATGAGTGGAGTAGGTCAGTGGAGCGGCTCCTAAAAGGCTGTTCTCCACCACAACTTCAATGGGGGAGAGGTTAAGATCTGAAGGCATGAACAGCAGAGGGAGGAAGTAGTTCAAATATATAGTTGCTGAGTTTCTCAATTAAATATATTTGAAACAGTATTGGAAGAAAAAAAATGGACCTACTTTCTGTCAGAACTCCTTGAAGCAGCAGCAGTGGCAGCAGCACAGCTGCCGCGTGTAGAGCCAACTTCACCATAGTCAACGCTGTCGCAGCAAAGGCAGAAGTGAGACTGAAGGCCCCTGGATCCCGAGTTTTATTTCAGCCATTGCTGTTTACACAGTCCAGTGGGCCAAACTGTTTTCTGATCATTTCTATTTTCCAAAGGTGTGACCAAGGTGCCACGTTAGCTACACTTGTTACATCATCATTCAAGCCCAGAGTACTTTGTCACTGATTCTAAATACAAGCTACCACAATAAGATATTTTTCTAAACAAAAAATAATAATACAAAAAACATAATAAATGTTCACCCAACCGCAACTGACGTGATAAAGTCTTAGGTGTTACAGTTAAATATGATCTAGAGTCTATTTCTACTGGGTACTGTGAAGTAGTATCTGCAGATATTGTTAAAAAAATTACGTTAATTAATATTACGTTATTGTTAGTCAAACACGTGTGTTTACCAAATATGTTTTGAGAGTGAAACAAAACACTCTCAAAAAAACATTCCTATAATTAGAAAAAAATCTGTTTTTTCCTCAATAACTAAATTAAATTTTAAAAATGATCTTATTGTTTGTCTCCTGACCAATGCAGTCTGCAAGTACCGTGTTCAAGTCTGGCCAATCAGCAGGTATCGTAGTATTACCTTTTTCTCCTGAAATCCTTGTCTTTTTCAAATGGTATTTTTAATACCACTACAGTATCTACGGTCATAAAGCTCCACCCTCCACTTACCACTGAGATCTGGCCTCTCTCCAGTTGGTCTTCCGTCAGGCTCCTCCTCCTTCACCAGCTCTTGAAAAACAAGTCATATAAGTCCTACAGTGTGTACACTTCATGAATAAGAAGTACACTTTATTGGTGTTTAAATATTTGTATGTTCGAAGTTACGTAAGTCATTTGTTATATTGATGTGGGCAGGTCATGTTAGAGTCTGACATTAGATAAATACACTGAGAAAGATAGCTTATACTCCTCCAGCAAGAAAGGAACTCTGGGTAATATCCATTAATGTAGATTTTGGCCTTCAAGGATCAGGGCATTTATGTTAGCATTTATTAAAAGTCTAGTTTGGCTGCGTGTAGTGTCATCTGAATTAATTCAATTTCAGTAAAAAACAAAAAGCAAATCTTTGAGTTGATACAGTCAAGATATTTACAACTCAACTTTTCTTCCTCCTGAAAACAGAGGCTGTGATAAATAACTGTTGTATTAGTGTCAAACACCAGGGGAACAAAAGAGAGAACTTTCCTGATGCATCAGACTCTCTGAAACAAACCGACTAAATCCTTACTAAGGTGTGACCGTGTAACTTTGGGAGTGGAGCTTTGACTTAGTAAACACGGTATTTTTTTCCGCCATTACGATCATGACCCCCCCCCCCTCCCCCCCATCATCTCCACTCCTCTGTCCTCTCATCACTGTTTGACTTCAGGTGTGTTCTCTGAAGAATTCCTCTTCATCAGAGGGAGGGTCCGGAGTCCGTGGGTGACAGGAGGAAGAGGCGACCGTGTGTGTGAGTGTGTGATTTTTCAACATGACAGAACAGGTTTCTTTCGTGGCTGTCATGTGATTTGAGTCACTTAAATATGTCTTTCCTGTAGCGGCTTGTTTGTGTAACTGTGGAGTTTACAAATCCGCTGAGGAATTCAATGTCCGCCGGATGTGTCTTTACAAAACAAGCGCTGCATTTGATAATACTGTGTTTAATGTGTAAGAAAATATAATATTTATATAAAATCAAATTATTATTATTATAATTATTATTACAATAATTAAGCCAATATTACCATTTTTGTTCCTATAATATAATTTTTCATCAATATGCTGAAATAAATTTAGATGAGGGTACATATATTTATATGTGTATTTATATATGTGTAGTTATAATAAAGAAACTAATTCAGGTCAACACAGATTTCAGATAAATGTGGTTCAAATGAATAAAAAAATGCATTGACCATTAGATATTGTTAAAAATATTTTTAAAAAATGTAATATTTACTCTTTGTGTTATTGTTTTGTGGCTGCTTTCCTACACACGTGTGTGCGATAAATAAATAAAAATCTCAGTGTTATTAGTCAATGCAATATAGGCTAGTTTTTAATTTGATAACAACCAAATGTTGGATCTACTTTGTAAACTGACGTTCTGTGAGACATATGAATTATTATTCCATATTATTATATTCCATATATATAATTATTATTACATAAACATGCGTCACATGTGTCTGTGGGTTTTTAATTTAATAACAACCAAATGTTGGATCTATGAAACTGACATTCTGTGAGACATATGAATTATTATTCACATAAACATGCGTCACATGTGTCTGTGTCCGTCAGCCATGATGGAGGTTGGAACAACAGAAACACACGGTCTACAGAAACAGAGGCGTCAGATGTAAGGATTACTGCTGACAGCACCGTCTGTACAGTGGTTAAGTGTCTTCTCTCAATCCATCCTGTTAAGTCCGGGCCCATTCACCCCCCCGTCCCCCTCCTCTCCCTCGCTTCCTCCTTTCTTCCCTCCCTCCCTTCCTCCCTCCTGTGCTGATCTGCCCTCTCTACTCCGCTCTAGAGTGCAGTGATGCTGTAGATGCTGCAGAGGACTGGAACAGACTCTGGATGATAGCGAATGCAGCAGCCAGGAAGGATAACATCACATCCGACACCACAGAGGACAGACGTGCTTCTGCAGCCAGCAGCCAGTGTAAGCTCTTGTTTTTCTATCCCTCCATTGTTTCCTGAGCAGTGTTTGCTTTGAATCTGTGTCTCTCCTCATCCCCTGGAGGCGACATGTCAGCGTTGTCAGCCTGTGACGTGTTGACTCATACAACTCCATGTAATGTTCTGTGGGGTTTACACAATCATTTTAACGCGGCCGAGCTGAACAAATGCATGTAGTACCTGGTGATGTGTTCCATTTAGGAGCGTCGTCACCACCGTCGCCGGTGTTTGAGCTAATAGCAATGACTTAACATATTCTTTTGGCCCATTATCTAATGTAGAAATAGTGTGACATCATCTTACCATTTTCATCTTCTCCCTATAAAATGACCTGGAATAACCTTTGCTGGAGTTTGCCCAGTCGCATTTGCTCCACATTCTTGTAGCATCGTTTGAAAGCCGAGCGTTTACATCTTACGGCCTGCCACAGAGAGACTTTTATTTATTTATTCTAAACTGTGCTGTTGTTTTGGTTAATAATAATAATAGACCAACAAAATGCCAATAGACCAGTTGACAGCTGCGCACTTTGAGTCAAGACGTGAATTAGGAGAAGGATTTCTGTCAACACATGCACGTACTGAAGCAAAATACTAGTGCTGAATATGAAATTACCAGATGTAATGTAACTGAAGTAGGAGGAGAAATAAGGAACCACAGTGCCTCCTCTTTGGCCACCTTCCTGAGTGTGTGTATCGTTTACAGAAACAAATATACAAGGGTTATTATTCATTCTTGTTAGACATTTTAGATCCTCAAATATGCTAGCAGTTAGCGTGCTAATCACGAAATATTCCCATATGACTCACCTGTTTGAATCAACAACTACGTAATTTGCGTTAATATTCAATTCTGTTTAACAAAAGTATATTTGCCAGGAAAAATATTCAACTAAAACTAAAGAATCATTTTTTGAAGCTGCAGATGTTGAACATTTCTAAACCTTTTGAAATGGGAATCTAACATGAACAGATTGTCCATTTTGTAAATGATTCCACTCTGCTGGAAGCACAAGTGTCTTTGTCTCAGGACTCAGTTGGTTCTGGTTGCAGCACTCATACAGACCTCCAGCAGTAGACAGGATGTGAAAGAGAGAGCGATGTTTCAGACCTGAATACTGCATTTGACTGGGATAAGGTGTGGGCTAATGTAGCATTAGCATCCAGAAACCCTGACCAGCAGCAAATACAATCATGTAATGGATTAATGATGATGATCCAACATTTTGTTGATCAACATCAACAGTTGATGATGATTAATGATGATGGATGAAGTTGCCCTACGTGAGGACAGTGCTCATTTTGGATGTTTTTTTATTGAAATGAAACAAAGAACAAAACAAATGAAAAAACAACTTATATCCACATGTTGGCAACCTCCTGTTCATTTTCTTTCACTTTATGATATATATATGTGTGTATATATATATATATATACACACATATATATGTATGTATATGTATGTATTTGAATATATATTTTGTTTGAATATATATTTTGTGTTCCTCCGATAATGATAACACAATGCCTGGGTTTCACTAAATGATGTGTGCTCTACAAATAGTTTTGGGGAGAAACGACTGTTTACCAAAGTGAAAGTCACTAGATGGCAGCATTGCAGCTCATTCTATTAATCTATTTTAATAATCAGGGGATTGTATGCAGAATGCTGGTTCCAGCAACATAATACAGTGGTTTCTACAGATAAACAAATAAATATTACTAGTCCTATATCAGTTATCGGAATCGGAAAATGAAGTGTTTGGAAAATATCGGCATATCGGATATCGAGAAAAAGTTAATATCGGACATCCCTAAATTTGTGCTCTATTTTTGTTTATTTTTCTTCTCTTTTAATATTTTTAAAAATGTTCCTTAATATAAAGTAAAAAAAAGACTGTTCTTATCAAATCAACTAAAGAGCATGAGTCAAGTCCAAGTCAGAAGCCCTGTAAACAGGATGACTCGGTCCGTTTCTCATACACGGCCAATGGTTGTGTCAGAGTACCTGCACTTGTACATTGAGACCTGATTCACACATGCAGAACAGTCAGTCAAAACAGCCTGTTCTGTCTGCAATAATGTAAGCATTCAGCTCAACAACACAGCACTCATTTTGCAGTACTCACAGCACTCTGTGACTTGTCATTCTGAGGTACTTATTACCTCCACCTGCAGCGAGTGGCTTCCTGTTGTTCACTCCACAGTCTTTAACCCGTATGGACTCTGGTTGGTGTTCAGCAGAACCTCAGGGGGAGAATCGGTCGTGTCAGCAGGAAAATCAGGTTTATTAAAACGAGATTATCAACAGATATAACAGCAGTGTGTTCACTGTAGGACAGAGATGCAGCAAGGAAAAGGTAGACTGATGTCAGGAAACTAGTGCGTGTTAGCCTATTTATTGTGACTGTATTAGTACTGTCAACAGATATAACAGCAGTGTGTTCACTGTAGGACAGAGATGCAGCAAGGAAAAGGTAGACTGATATCAGGAAACTAGTGCGTGTTAGCCAGGATAGCCCTATTTATTGTGACTGTATTAGTACTGCAGTATTTTCATAGTAACTAATCAAAATTCTCACTATTAATTATTAATTAATTATTAATTATTAATTTAAAGGTCATGTTGTGTGAAGTTTGTATCATAAGTATGTATATTTTAACACTTTAAACCAAAAAGGAGATTTGCCTGCATTTAAGTGATACTTTAGAACCTAAAGTACTTCAGTAATAAGAAAATTAAATTTTGCAGTGATTTTCTGGCCTTGTAAGCACAGCAGTCGTCTGAGGCCAACCTGAATTCTCTCACTGGTTGAGACACGGCATGATGTCATCGCCAGGCAAACATAGGCAGAGGCAAATGTTCATTTGTTCATTATTTTTAATACTAATAAATTAATCCAGAACCAAATGTAAATGTCAAAAACAAAATAGAACTTTCTCTGCTGAGAGTTACATTTATTATATTATTATTATTGTAAAATAACCAATTTAAGTTAAATAGGTTTTGTTTATTTCTCACCTGTATAATTTGAGTTGTTCTTTTAAATAAACCAAAAGTCTTTCTTTTGTTTAACACGACAATGTGATGTTAAACGTCTCTACATTTTGAACTTGTGACCATTTTTTATACACTAAAGATTTTTTAAGTTGTTTTGTCTGTAAATAAGGTTTAAATACGTCAACAAATATAAAAAAAACATGAAGAGAATATAGAAACATCTACTGTTCCTTCAAAGGCATTATTTAAATCTAAGTGAACTAAAAGTTCATCGTGGTATCATAAAAAGAATAACGTTAGCCTTTGGCCCTGCTGGACAATGTTTGTAACTGCACCTGCTGTTTAGTGAGCGGGCCTGTTGTACAGCAACTCAAACACTACATCAATGGATTTTTTTTCCTCATATACTGTGATGAATGTACTTGTTGACGGAGTATTTGCTCTCTCTGATAACGTCCACTTGTGTGTACTATTACCTTTTCCCGTTTATCTTTCACTGTTATTGAAACTGAATGACATTCATTAACTTTTGTTTAAATATACTGTAACTTATAGGTGTGTGTTCAGATACAGATTCATCTGTCCGTTCACTTTCTTCTGCTTTACCTCGTTCAGTCCCAATACCAAACAGCGTCAGCCTTATTCCACTGACTGATATTGTTTCTCTGTGTGGATTTGACTGTTTGTAATAAGATTTTTTCAGTGCAACCTTGGTATTTTTTGGATCAAGAGATAAAGGTGAGATAAAGGTTGAACAGTTTACGCCAGATAAGCTGAGCTGCTATAATCAAAGGTCAGAGAGTGACCTTTGGTATGGACATCACGATCTCTAAATGCAGAACATTTTAGCTAATGCGCTAAGATAACTAGCACATGAAAGTTTTTGAAATTAAATTTAGTTGAATTTAGCATCACAGAATTAGTCTGGTTTGAGTTTAGGCAGGATAGATGACATGTGGTGAGCCTCAGCTCTTTCAGCTAACCCATCATTAGGTTTTCATTGGTCAGACATCAGTGTTTTTGAGGTTAACAAATTTCACCAATTATCCGTCCAATCTTGCCCCATCACACTGTCTTGCAGGTCAAAATGTCGCGGTGGTGCTGGAGAGATTTAGAATTATTTTATCCTATATTGACAGACACAGGAATTACAAAACCGTGCATATTTGTCTAAACAAATCTTACTCTTAAGCAGACACCGCACAGACATGGAGAATAAGGCGTTGGAACTTGACTCTCTGAGTATTCCAGTGGAGGACACCAGTCATAGAGAAGGCCAGCCCCCGCCGCAGCCCCAGCAGCAGCCGCCTCAGCCGCAGGTGATGTTAAACGTCTCTACATTTTGAACTTGTGACCATTTTTTATACACTAAAGATTTTTTAAGTTGTTTTGTCTGTAAATAAGGTTTAAATACGTCAACAAATATAAAAAAAACATGAAGAGAATATAGAAACATCTACTGTTCCTTCAAAGGCATTATTTAAATCTAAGTGAACTAAAAGTTCATCGTGGTATCATAAAAAGAATAACGTTAGCCTTTGGCCCTGCTGGACAATGTTTGTAACTGCACCTGCTGTTTAGTGAGCGGGCCTGTTGTACAGCAACTCAAACACTACATCAATGGATTTTTTTCCCTCATTTTTTTTTTCCCTCAGTATTTGCTCTCTCTGATAACGTCCACTTGTGTGTACTATTACCTTTTCCCGTTTATCTTTCACTGTTATTGAAACTGAATGACATTCATTAACTTTTGTTTAAATATACTGTAACTTATAGGTGTGTGTTCAGATACAGATTCATCTGTCCGTTCACTTTCTTCTGCTTTACCTCGTTCAGTCAGCCTTATTCCACTGACTGATATTGTTTCTCTGTGTGGATTTGACTGTTTGTAATAAGATTTTTTCAGTGCAACCTTGGTATTTTTTGGATCAAGAGATAAAGGTGAGATAAAGGTTGAACAGTTTACGCCAGATAAGCTGAGCTGCTATAATCAAAGGTCAGAGAGTGACCTTTGGTATGGACATCACGATCTCTAAATGCAGAACATTTTAGCTAATGCGCTAAGATAACTAGCACATGAAGGTTTTTGAAATTAAATTTAGTTGAATTTAGCATCACAGAATTAGTCTGGTTTGAGTTTAGGCAGGATAGATGACATGTGGTGAGCCTCAGCTCTTTCAGCTAACCCATCATTAGGTTTTCATTGGTCAGACATCAGTGTTTTTGAGGTTAACAAATTTCACCAATTATCCGTCCAATCTTGCCCCATCACACTGTCTTGCAGGTCAAAATGTCGCGGTGGTGCTGGAGAGATTTAGAATTATTTTATCCTATATTGACAGACACAGGAATTACAAAACCGTGCATATTTGTCTAAACAAATCTTACTCTTAAGCAGACACCGCACAGACATGGAGAATAAGGCGTTGGAACTTGACTCTCTGAGTATTCCAGTGGAGGACACCAGTCATAGAGAAGGCCAGCCCCCGCCGCAGCAGCAGCAGCAGCCGCCTCAGCAGCAGCAGCCGCCTCAGCAGGAGCCATCCATGCTGATCCACCTGAAGAAGGTTGAGAATGAGATCACCGATGCCCAACGTTTCTCACACCTGCCCAAACGCTCAACAGTGGACCTGGAGTTCACCGACCTTTCCTACACCATCCAAGAAGGACCATGCTGGAGAAGAAAAGGTAAAATAATAACATGTATCTGATTCTCAGTCAACCTCATGGTCAAGGTGGAAGAGAAAATTGTAAACTGGAAAAAAAAAAGTACAGTTGCCTAACGGAACTCTTCAACCCTGTAAAATAAATATATAATATCATATAATAACAGAGTTTTTTTTTCATTTTATTACCTCTCATTTTACACTTTAGCATATCATGAACAATTTTGCCAAACATGGTTGATGTTTGTTTGTTTAATAGATTATCATATTTAATGAACACTTTAGCATTTCATGAACAATTTTTCCAAACATGGCTGATGTTGTTTAATAGATTATCATATTTAATGACCTGTCCTCAACAAATTGTCATAATCAGCATTTTGCTGTTAATGTTTTACACTGTTATGAACGTGAACAAGACCATAATTGCCACATAATTCTGATGGGCTTCTCATTTGCTTTTAATTGTCTAAAGGTTAATTTTTTCATTTATAGTAAAAATGATGTCTAATATTATAGAAATATGTAGGCGACAGTGCAGTGTCTGCATGAACACACACGGGTGGCATTCTGCTGAGATCCACCACCTTAAAATATTACAGAGTGGTGTGCACCAGTCACTGACAGCAGCGACAGTATGTGGGTCATGTCTGAGTTTTTATAGAACTGTTCAAGGTCTGCGTTCTGTAGCACAGAAGACCACGGGAGCAGAGTGGTAACGGAAGTGAACATGTTGAAACACGTTGTTTTCAAGCCAAGAACCAAGAATTGGCTGGAGAAGAATTCATCCGAAAACACAAATATTTAAAAAATTGAGTAAAAAAATTGGTTTTATGTAAAAATTGCCCAAGTACAATTATTTAGCATTTGTTACTTGTTGTTCAAATAAAACAGAGGTTTATTTATTAATGTTTAATTTTTATAAATATACAAATTATAAAACAATATTCAGGAAAAAAAAAGTCTAATCAAGCAAAAATGCCATGACCCCCCCATGCAGTACCACCGATGACCCTCTATTTAACAGTATATTGCGATGTTAAAGACCGTTCTGTATGACTCAGAAATAACTGACTGTGTGACATTTAAGTTGCAGTGTTTTATAATATTGCTCACTGCATGGACACCAAACTGTCACAGCACAGAAGAAGAATAAAAATGTGATAAATTGTGAGATCATTTTCATGTCTCTTCTGTCATTGACAGGTTTTAAAGCCTTACTGAAGTGCCTGTCCGGAAAGTTCTGCAGTCGAGAGCTGGTCGGAATCATGGGGCCTTCAGGAGCTGGAAAGTCCACCTTAATGAATATTTTGGCTGGGTACAGGTACGGAAAGTTCCTGTTAAAGATCTATAACATAAATATTGTACACAAATATATTGTGTGTGAGTAAATGTGAATTCTTCCTACTCTGCAGGGAAACAGGAATGAAGGGTCAGATTTTTGTGAACGGTAAACCCCGGGACCTGAGGAAATTCAGGAAAATGTCCTGCTACATCATGCAGGACGACATGCTGCTGCCACATCTGACTGCACATGAGGCCATGATGGTGAGCAGAGAGTAGAGTACAGGAGAACACAACATTTACAACCCATCGGTTAAGACTAAAAAATAAAGCAATTTGAGGTATTTATTGACACCAATTCAAGCCAAAAAGTAATTTGTTTAATAAAAATGAAAATGAAAATCACTAGGTAACTGTGGATTAATCACGATAAATCATCATCATCATCATCACATACTCTCCTGCCCTGCACCACCTCCATCTTGCGCGCACTTGAAAACATTACTTTTTTTTCTCGTGCTCTTAAGATAATTCCTCGTGCATGCCTGAAGTATTTGTCATCAATGACGTCCCTTTGAGGCCTCCATAGTTTCTGTGAATATTATTTATCATATTTCCTGTCCATGTTTCTCGTTATTGCAGGTATCAGCCAACTTGAAGCTGGATGAAACTTCAGATGTAAAGAAAACTCTGGTAGGTTTAAAAAATATATGTATTCATCTTCATACAGAGAAAGCCGATCTTAGATATTAATATTAAGCTCTTCGTAATAACCCGCCCCCCCGTAGTATCCAGCCAAACACCAACACTCTGGCCCATGTATCAGAACATAATATAATTATAGATTAACACTTTAAGATTACTTGATAAAACCAATGAGTCATAAACATTTGTCTAAATATAAAATGAAATTCTGCTCGGATGTTTTTAATCATTGCTATATATTTATATGTATTTATATTTTTTCCATTAGGTGGTCAATGAGATTTTGACTGCGTTGGGGCTCCTGGAATGCGCTCACACTCGGACCAGCTCACTTTCAGGGGGTCAGTGTAAACGACTGGCCATCGCTCTGGAGCTGGTCAACAATCCTCCAGTCATGTTCTTTGATGAGCCCACCAGGTGAGACAGACTGAGATTCACAGTTGATGAAGTAAACTTGAAGTCCTCTGTTTTGACAACTGTCCTTCGATACTTTTTTTTCTAATATAAAACCTTATATTTGTCACTTAATTCTGTCATTGAACATTCCTCCACACACCCCATTGCATATTCATGCAATTCAAAACCCAACCAGGGTACTGATGAGTACACAAATGAAATACTCGCCACAACAATCATATAAATTCTGTTAAAGAAAATCTCTGTCTCCCTCATCAGTGGCTTGGACAGCGTATCGTGCTGTCAGGTGGTCTCTCTGATGCGTTCTCTGGCTCTGGGCGGTCGCACCATCATGTGCACCATACACCAACCCAGTGCCAAACTGTTTGAGATGTTTGACAAGGTAGGCAGTGAACCCAAAATTAATCAATGTGTGGCAAATGTTAAACGGGGTTTTCAGTGGTGGTCTACTTCCACAGCTGTACATTCTCAGTCAGGGTCAGTGCATCTACAAAGGCTCGGTGCCCTACCTGATCCCTTATCTGAAGAGTTTGGGTCTCTACTGTCCCACCTACCACAATCCCGCAGACTTTGGTACGCATCCCACATTTATTCATCTGTTTCCTTCAGTTTGCTGAGGATGATTAACGTTAACGTTTTCTTTTCTTTTTTTCCCCGTCAGTTATTGAAGTTGCATCAGGTGAGTACGGAGACCTGAATCCTATGTTGTTCGAGGCAGTCCAACACGGAATGTGTGCAGTTGAGAAGAAAAAGAACCAATGTGATGACAATGACATTTCTGTGTGTGAGACAACAGATCCCATGGTGAGTGTAAGTTGTGTTATTACTAGGGATGTCCCATAATATCAGCCGGCCGATTGTATTGGCCCTGGTCTCGCCAAATGATGTCTGCCCTAATAGTTTTGGGGGAAAACGGATGCATGTCAAAGTAAAAGCCACTAGATGGCAGCATTGCAGCTCGTTTTATTAATCAATTTAAATAATCAGGGGATTGTATGCAGAATGCTGGTACCAGCAACTTAGTACAGTGGGGGTGAAAAATAATTGAGAAACACTGCTTTAAACCATCACCTTCCTTAACCACCAGGCCACCACTGCCCTGCTATATCAGTATCAGTTGATAACGGAATCAGAAATTAAGTATTTGGACAATGTCGGAATACAAAAAGAATAAAAGTTAATATCGGACAGTGTCGGAATAAAAAAAGAATAAAAGTTAATATCGGACAGCCATAGTTATTATAATTTAGAAATGTTTTTTGTTTTTGTAAATATATCATACATTTACTCACACCGTTCACTATAATGGCCTCGTTGGGACTTCTTCTATCTGACGATGGGCACATACATTAACTATACTTGTTTTTCTCAATGGTTCAAGTTACTGGAACAAACAACTTGCATTTCATGTCTAGTGTTACATATTAATGTACGATGACGGTGTGAGGCAGTGCCTTACCCGAATACAGGGTCAAATATCACAGTTGCATCAGTGGATGGATGATTGTTCCTGACATGAGTCTCTGTGATGCTGATGTGAAAAGACAGATGATGTTTTTAATACGACGTGACTTGCTTGTACTCCAAAGGACACTGGCCATGTGGAGAAGCATACTTTCGCCACAAGTACATTAACACAGTTCTGTATCCTCTTCAAGAGAACCTTTATAACAATATGCCGAGACCAGGTAAGTGACATATGGAATTTTTCTGGATGAATTTTAGTATTTACCAGCAAATTTGTTCCATGGAATTGTCTGTAAAAAGCAAAATACTCCAACAGAATCAAACTGACCTTGTTAATTATTGAACATTTAATTGAATATGTTGTTACGTTTTTTTTAAACTATAGAGCAGATTCCTAACAACAAGCACAAGAGTGAGAGATTATCAGGTGTGCCATAGAAAATTACTGTATTTTCCAGACTATAAGTCGCTCCGGAGTACAAGTCGCACCAGTGCCCTCTAGCGGCTATCGCTATGAACGTGTACATTTTCAGTGGTACAAGTGTAGGAGACACTGGTACACAAGCCTAGAGTGCCCTCCAGGGGCTATCAGTGTGAAAATAACAAACATGTAAAATTATATATTTTAATATATAAGTTGCACCTGTCTTATAGTCAGGAAAATATGGTAACCAATTTCACTTACTGAAACCTACTATTAATTTACTGCAAATTATTTATCTTTATTTGTCAATGTGACCATCACAGGCAGAACTTTCAATAATATATATAAACACACATCACAGAGTAACGGCAGTGTGTCAGTGACGCAAATAATAGAATTATTTTTTTATTTTATCAAAGACAACAGTCCATAAGCTCTCCAGTCTTAATGTTTGCATCGTGTCTCTAAATGTAGAGTTATGATTTAAGCATCAGGCAGTTGTGTTCTTCATACCTCTGCTCGTGTAGTAAATACAAGTTAATCATTTGTATCTACTCTTGTTTGTTTCACAGGTTTTGACCCATTTGAGACTGATGTCTCACATCCTCATCGGTGTATTGATAGGTTTGCTCTACTTGAACATCGGAAATGATGCTAGCAGGGTCTTCAACAACACTGGCTTCCTGTTCTTCTCCATGCTTTTTCTCATGTTCGGCGCCCTCATGCCCACTGTGCTAACTTGTGAGTATAACTTCATCAAGTCATCGATTAAAGACAGCTGAGCTAAAAAAAAACAACAACATTTTAAAAACTACAATAAATAAAAATAAAAAAAGAATATATAGGGAATATACATTGTTATTTATACACACTGCGGGAAAACATTTTCAGTGGAGCTCTTAGAATCGCAACATAATTGTGGAGGCTTTAACTTCAGGCTTGCGTCAGACCAGTTTCACTGAACGCAGTGCACCGAGTCTACAGCTGAAAAGCTGACTGACACGATTGTCAAACAGACTGTGAGGGACTTTTGGCAGGTTAATACTGCTGAGAACAACAACTTCACCACAGGTTTTGAAAGAAACTCTCCACATACGTTCTACAGGCCGCTGTCAAGATGCTCAGTAGTGACTGAAATCACCAACTTCAGGAAGCACATTTTGAGTTTATACTTTTACACCTTTTTCTTGACATTTTTCCATATTAATAATTCCATCATTTGGATTAGTCACAAATAAAGATAGTTGTGAGACACATGCATCTACCTGCTGTTATTTAAATCACTGTTATTAATCCACAGCTAGTAAAATGTCACATCACTGTTAATCAATACTAAACAGATTAGTTCATAAATTTAAAAAAATATTTTCCATAAACTTATTGTAGTTTGGAATAAGTAAACTCAGAGTTTGTATCTACTATTACAATTTTTTTTTCTAGCTCATCAAAACTCTGATGCGCTGTCACAGTTCAATAACAACGTTAATGAGTGTTTCCTTGTTGTGACTCCACCTTCTTGACAGTTCCTCTGGAGATGTCAGTGTTTCTGAGAGAACATCTCAACTACTGGTACAGCCTGAAAGCCTACTACCTTGCCAAGACCATGGCTGATCTTCCATTTCAGGTGAGCTGGAACTCAGTTTGGAAAGAGAAGCTCTGTGTCAGTACACCACTGCTCTCTCTCTCTCTCTCTGTTGGCGGCAGTATCTATTAGTAGGGATGTTAATGCAGTTAATAAAAATATTGGAATGTGATCTGATCAGTAGTCAATCACTGGTTGGAATGAGACTGCACATAAAAGGCTCTCTGACCAAATAAACCAAATGAACTTACAAAAAAAAAAGAAAATCTGAGTTTTAAGTTTCATTTTCAGTTTTATTCAAAGTAACAATGCAGTAGTGGATTTTTTTAAGTTGTAATTTTAATTGATAATAATTAAAACAAGTGTTTTGTTGTAGGTGATCTGCCCCATCATGTACTGCAGTATCGTGTATTGGATGACAAAGCAGCCTCCTGAAGCCAGTCGGTACCTGCTCTTCGTAGCCCTGTCCATTTGCACTGCACTTGTAGCTCAGTCCCTCGGTCTGCTGGTCGGGGCTGCGTCCCCTTCACTGCAGGTACGTCAGTTCAGCGCCATCATCCTGTGATTCTTGTTCACTTGTGTTAGACGTGAAGATACGAGCAGGTGTTCTCTGCACTCTCAAACAGGTAGCCACGTTTGTTGGACCTGTCACAGCTATTCCAGTTCTGCTCTTCTCCGGGTTCTTCGTGAACTTTGACACCATCCCCAAGTATCTGCAGTGGAGCTCCTACATCTCCTACGTCAGGTGTGTAGCTCGATGGCAATGGAAAAAAAATACTGTTCAAACAAAACAGAAAAAGAAAAACAAGGGATTATTTGCAAGATGAAGAATAATGACAGTGAAATATAAACAGTACACACTGTGGGTATATCAGGATACTTCACAATATAAAGGTTGATCATGATGACTTTGTGTATTTTAACATTGATGGTGATTATTCTGAAGTGTATTTTTTTCTTTTCTGAACTTTGATGAGTAAATCTGTAAGAGTAGTATTTTTACCATAGACCTTTTTTTTTACTTTGTTTGGGGCAAAAGGAGCTCTGTGTGTAGTTATTGTATTAATGTGGTGGTTATTATGCCTGCCTTACATACTGAAGGTCCTGGGTTCAAGCCTCAGAGGAGCCACATAATTAATGGCGCCTCCTGTGGCAGCCTATGTGGGTTGCAAAGAGGAAAAGGGAGTTCAAATTATTTTACCTGGCAGAGAAGAAATGACTTTGGTCAGGATAAATGTCAGCTGAAATGTTCATGATATTCTGATCAAAGCTTCAAAGATACTTTCATTAAGTCAATACAGAACAGAAAAACAGAAAAGACCAAAGTGTAAACTCTTCTTTTTCATCCTCTTCTTCTTCTTCTTATTTGACCTTTTCTTCCTTGTCTTATTCCTCTTCTACCTCTTTTTTGGTGCATTACTGCCCCCTTTTGGTCATGTTTTTTTTAACATATGTTAATTTTTTTTCTCTTCTTTTTCTTTTTACCTGGCTCTTCATAGCAGATTGCACCTCAACATTTTTTTTTCAATTCCTTCCCGCACTCAGTGCTCCACCATTTTGCCACATCCATTTATACTGTTCTACAAAAAGTCATGTGTAAGTCATTGTTTTTTTTTTTTTATGTGACACTCACCAGGTATGGATTTGAAGGCGTGATCCTGTCCATCTACGGCATGACCCGCTCAGAGCTGGAGTGTGCGGTAGAGACGTGTAAATTCCAACAGCCAGAGGAAGTGCTGCACTTATTGGACGTAGAGGACGCAAAGCTCTACGTAGACTTCATCGTCCTCGGCATTTTCTTCATCATCCTACGGTTGGCTACCTACATTGTCCTTCGCTACAAAATCAAAGCTGAGCGATAGGTTTCACCAAATGAACGTCCTCTGTGATATCAATGCTTGCAATATCAATGCAGCCCTGTTTTTATCTATGCACCAACTACTATTTCTATTGTAGAGAGTTTATGCTCAATTTACATGTTAAACCGTGAAAGGACAATGTTTGACAATGTACATATGTGATGAGTAATCTTATAAATTAACTTATACCCATTTTACCTCAGAAAAAAACGTACATTAAAGAACAAAGGTACTGAGTCATTTTGCTAAACATACGCATGTTTCTTTATTTTCCTGCACATTTGATTTTCCTGCTGTTTGCACTGAACTGTAAATACTGTTGTTTGCAAAAGATATACATACTATTGTTGCATTGGAGAACAAGTCCTAAATGACTAAATCTATCAGTACATAACAGCAGTTTCTTTGAGATTTCTTTCATTCTTAAGCTTGAGTTTGTATATGTATTATTATATGATATAATTCCATCCATCCATTCATCCATCCATTTTCATCCGCTTATCCGTTACCGGGTCAGCAGTCACCGCCCCAATCAAACTGCACCGTACCAACCCCCCCGAACCGTCCTGCGGGTGGTGAGTCCACTGGAAGGTACCAACTGCCCTAACCGGGATTCGAACTTGCCCAGGAGGTGAACCCTGGTGTTCCACACCAATGACAGAGACATTGCCTCTGGGCCAAAGCGCCACTATGATATAATTGTTTCTCATAATTTAGTATAATTTATACCATCTTATGATTTTAAATATGTAGCATTAAATAAAATAGTTCGGATTTATTTTGCAGCACTGTGTGAGCTCCAGTTTTGTATGTAGATGCACTCTAATGCTAGAGAAAAGCAACCACTTTTATCATTATTTTGTAAACTTTCTGCATTTTGATGAGTAATACAAATGAGACGCAACATACTGATCGATTTCATGTGTGAAGTTCTGCTTTTGAAAGCAATTCTGTTCTCTGATAATGAAAAAAAATGCCTTCAGGATACAGAATGTAAGGATGCTGACAAATCAAGGAAATGTGTGTGTTTGTGTGTCCTTTTCAGGACCAGAGGGATAATGTTTCTGAGGCTCTAGATCGGGGTGTCAAACTCATTTTCATCGGGGGGGGGCCACGTCAGTAATACAGTTCCCCTTGACGGGCCGGTTGTAACTGGAAGATTGTATAAATGTAACTACTTCATAATGTATTAATAAAAGTTTCTGCAATTGATTATTATTTATTAAGGTTACAAAAAAATTGTTCATTGCTCTGTAATAAAAAACTTTTAATTTTATCTGGTTAAGAAAAATTTAGCAGCATGAACTTTATTATGATGGAAATGCATTTAAAGCTCCAGAGGGCCACACAAAACGGCCTGGCGGGCCACATTTGGCCCCCGGGCCTTGAGTTTGACACGTGCTCTAGATAATCAGATAGTCAGAGTAAATTATGGTTTTACTAATGCCACAGTTAGGGCTTAGCTTGAACTGGTTTTGTTTTCTAACAATGACTGCTGTGCAGAACTGTCCTTGTGTATTTGCTTGTGTGAATGTGTAACTATGAACTGTAAATATTCCTCTAAGCTGTTTTTACATGCATTACAAACATCACTGATAGAGAAAACAAAATATATAAAATGTTGTGATTTCAATTTCTTTACATATTGACGTTGAAACAGCACAGAAACCATTTCTGCGCACATTTGTTTCAGTTTGTTTGAACTGGTGCCTTACAAATATTGTCACAGTCACATGACGTTCCATCAAAGTGAGATAAAAGAAAACACTCCTGTGTGAGGTATATTCTATTTTTGACAATCAGTTGGCTACTGAATTCTTTTCAATACACAACAGCCTTAAAATGAAAACATTTCTTGTAAAAAAAAAAGGTGTTAATTTCAAAAAAAAAAAAAAATTTTGAAGAAGAAGTTTACAGGTAAGGCCTACACACAAAGATTTCAGCTAAAGACCCTCGAGCATATTCACTCTGTACAAGCATATACAGTAAACATGTCCAAATCAGCAAGTTTCCTGTTTTGTCTTTTATGAATGGACACTGGAACCCGGCTTTTACTAACACAAACTGTAGTTATTTAGATAATTAGAGCATCCCACACCAAAAAGTCAACATCCATGAAAATATATAACGATATAATCAATGTGCAGAGTTGTGTTTCAACATCCCAAAAACTGCCTCCTGGATTAATGTTGCAGAGGTAACGTTAAAACTGTTTTAATGTTTAGTTTTTCCTTAGATTTCGTCAGGAACAGCTGGAATTTCTAGCACGATTATTTTCTTAAATGTTGTGACATTTGAAACAGACATTTTATTTATGTCCAGGACATTAATGGAACTTTACTAAACTGTATTGACAATTGAATCACACTTGCTACAAATAACTAGCATATAAGGTAGGCTAACTAGGTTTTAAGTGCACATAACAAATGCATATATACATATACATATATATACACACACAAATGTTTTAAAGGCTTTGAATGCATTTTATTATGGTGCAGGATCCTTATATATATATATATATATATATATATATATACTTATATATATAAGGATCCCGATACCTTAAATGTTTTGAAGGCTTTGAATGTCTTTTATGATGGTGCAGGATCCTTATATATACATATATATAAGGATCCTGCAAAAAAGGATATATATATATAAGGATCCTGCACCATCATAAAAGACATTCAAAGCCTTTACAACATTTAAGGTATCAAATGTTGATGGGAACCAGATTTGTATCATGTTGAAATTTAGTGTCACACATTGCCAGCCAGGGTGCCTTTGACTGCGCTCTCAAATAACGCGAGCCTGAGAGGGACTTCAGGGTCTTACTATCGCGCGATTTTACCAGCTGTTTGGTGTGTGTGTGTTTTTTTTTTTTTTTTTTAAAGAATGATGCTAGTCGGTCAACACGTGGGGAGGAGAGCTTGACTTTCTGAGGGGACACGTTTGGTAAAACCACAATATCGCTAAAGCTCTCACCGTGGCGGCACAGCAGAATCTAAAACACTGTAAGTAAACGAACAACTTTTTACAGAAGAAAGGCCACAGCATGATGTAGCAGCTAAGTTAGAGGAGCACGTTAGCCTGTAGCCGTCTGCAGAACGTACACACAGTGTGACTTAGTTCAAATACACTCATAGGGGTGTGACACGCGCTCATGGTTAAAAAAAAACATCTATGCAGACTTTACAACCTTTTATTTATGAGTCTAGATTTAAGGGTCTTTCTTAATGGACGCTATTAGCCCATGTCATTGAACAACTCGCCTACACATCTTCATCCAACTTAACAGTTGCCGCAGTTCGACTAGCCTCTGTCCATGTTGTGTAACTGAAACTGAGCTAATACCTCACGTTTTGCCTCCAAATGCTCGAATAATGAATATGTGCAGTTTTATATCTTAACTTAAACAGTTTTAATACTCAATACGTTGACACCATTCATTTATGGTTTGCCCCGGGCCCGTTTGTTAAGCTAACGGTGAGGTCTGAGGCCCAGGCAGGACAGTGGAGTGCTCTTTGGCTTAAAATGTCCTTTAACCCTGCGTCAGTGTGACACTTGCCCTCGGTGGTGCATTTACGCTTCACGCTGTTATGCAAAAGCCTTTACGTCCAGTCATGTTTTTGGTTGTTACTAAATGTACTATCGAAAAGACGTGGCTTTAATCAAGATTCCATTCATTCAACGGCCATAGTCAGTGTGACAAAACCATGCAGATAGAACGCTGGAGGTGTGCAGTCAGGTATGTTCCTATATTCACTGCCAACGGGGTAGCTAGTGTACCGGCATACTGTTTTTTTTACTAAATTCATCAATTTTTGTCTCGCGCCCCTGGGCCCACTCGATGTGCCATGCTTTATTCCCTGGGGTGAAGGGAATAACCTTAGCCTCAGTTCACATCCGTGTAGTCAGTTATGCCAAACCTCGTGTATATAATGTGAATTTTACATGCGTCTGTCGTTGTTGTATTTTCACTCAACTCAAAAAAACTGTATCGCTAAAGACAGATGCTTTCTGTTGGATTCGGCGTTTGTGGTATGAACCTAAAAGACACTTTAGGCTTACATTTAAAGAAAGGTGCAGCATGCTACCCTGTCGCCCACTAGTTCCGTTTATGTCCGTTCTAACGTGGGGAAACATTACCCACCATACAATGTTGTGGAATACGTGTATGCATAATCTAACCTATTAACATCAAGGCATAGGCATAAAAGAGTAGACTGTGTAGTTTTGTTTACGTACATATTCAACTGGCCAATTACATGTACGTGCTGCTCCTTTATGGACGCACATGTAGAGCGGAGCCTGGAGCCACACACGACGGTGAACGACGCTGGTGGGATTATTTTAGAACGCTGTTGTTCGTGTTATCTGCTTGTAGCGCGTTGACATGGATTAGCATTAGTTTAGTTGAAAGTTAACAACGTGACTCACGCTCACAAGGAAGTGAATGTGTAGTTTTTCTTTTCTTCATTGTAAACGTGTTTTGGCTAAGTGTCCTGTCAGCTAAATTTAAGGGTTTAGCCGACTGTTGCTAACGTCGATGCTAATAGGGAGATTTGGACTGTTGCAGCAGGCGTGCAGCAATGTCGGTGTGTGGACACGTACAACATACCTAACGCAAAATGTTAGCTGGAGGGAAAAGGCGTGCATTTTTTTAAAAGCAACTAATACTTTTGACGATAGAAACGTGGAAGTAGCTACACGTGTTTACGGTGCAGAACTCTGTGCTGAGTATGTCAGATTTACCAGTGACTGACCTTTATCTGATAACATACACTATGAGGTCATGTTGCACAATTAGTACAAATGTGTTTCTGTGCTGAGTAAAGTGGAAAACTATACAAAAATAACCAGGATAAATTTAAAGAGATCTTTAGAATCATATAACTAAACTTTTTTTTTACTTTGTATTGTTGTAGCTGTAGATTAAGGCACTGTAGAGAGTCTTTTGGCTGTTTGTGCTGAGCATGCCTAACATATGAGTGACCCAAACCACTCCTGTCTGAGCTGACAAGGTCAAAGGCTGAAACTTACTCCAAAGCACTTGAGAAAGGCACAGTGGAGTAACTGGTATGTCCTATAAGGACTGCCCTACATTTGTGTCACTGCCAGTACCTTCTGTTGGTAACCTTGTTCAAGGTGAAAGTAGTGTAGGCCACCATTACATAGGCACAGACACAGTGATCAGCCAACACAACACATACTAAGGTGTGTGAGTGTGTGTCTAATTGTCTGTGTTACATACTGACACCCATTTCCTGCATTGCAACTGGTCGTCTTCTGACCTGTAGTCTCACTAACCTTGTCCAGTTAATACATAGCGTCATATCACTTTGATAATTAAGTTAGTCATTTAGATTATTGCCATGGATGCACATAGCATTTAGCACCATGATTCTTGAACTATGGTAAGTGTACTGCTGTTGGTACTTGGACTCCCTCTATTGGTACATTGGAAGGATCTAATTACCCTATAAATGACCCACTTTGTCATTAGATACAGCTGTCATGTTACAGAACTGAATTCAAGTGTCTGTTGCAGTTTTACTTCATTAGTTAATTTTATTGTGTCCTCAGTTGATAAATATTATAAATTATTAAAAAACATTTCTATACAGTTGTATAAACAGGGGTGATGTTGGTCAGACTTGGAGGTACTTGGGTTGACAGACATTTTCAAATTTTGTACACAGTGTAAAAAGTTTCATAACCGCTGGCTTGGTTTATATCAGTACTATAATTTGCCCTGTATAGTTCTACAATGAGATAACTGCCTGCCTTTAATTTGTTTCTGCCTGAGATTGCCCCAAACTTCATGTATAACACGTGGCTTTCAGCTGTCAAAGACCTGTACATTAAGATACATGGTTTTCCTGCAGATTAATTAGTATTGCACTTGTACTGTTCCCTAAAATGATCAGTGTAGATAGTTTTTGTTAACCTGATCTTAAACAGCTGTTGCTCACAGCTCATTCATTCATTCAATATTCTTCTCCTGAGGGCGATATGAGTAATTTTTTTCTATGCTGAACTGTCATTTTACACTCTCAGGATGTGTCCCACTTATCATAATTACTAATAATTACACTGACATGTGTTCAAATAGCTTGTTATACTGAATTCCACTTAACTAAAGCTACATTTGCTGTTGTAAATCTTTTAACACTATTATGCTTTACATTATACCTTGCCAAAGCAAGTCAAAGGTACTTCCCATTCCTTTGCTCCTAGCCACTAACATGCCAGCAGGTGTCAGCTGTTGTGCTAAAATATACTTCAGTATCACTAGAGGACCTGTTGACCTTTCATTTGTCTCTTGTTTAAAAACTACATTAACCATTAAAATTATAAAGCCACTATTCTTATATAGTACAGTATTAGTTTCACCCTGGTTGTGTAAACATAAACATCATTTATTCCACACTCTGATCTGTAGTCTTTTTTTACTAAGACAATTTAAATGTTAAGTACAGTCATCTTACACAATGTCTTTTTTTGTTTCAGGTGTAGCTGCTAGTGTTCTGAGGAAATGGGGATTCGTTCTGTTTTACCATACACACTACCCGGAGTAATTGCACTAATCGGCTGGTGGTGGTACATCTCGCGAAAGAAAGAGCGACTCAGCCGCCAGGGTAGCCCAGAGGGGGCGCCAACTGATGCAACCCTTATAACATCTCCAACAGAGGGTAGCAATGGTTTGGTGGTCCCCCCCATAAATGGCACTGAAAGATCTGCCCAAGGATCTGTACACGCCACTAACCTGAAGAGAGAGCATGAAAGTTTTTCCTATGCTCACAACCAGGACTATGAAGCAGCATCTTCATTAAGACAATGTTCTGAGGAAGATGACACACATCTAGGTCGGATAAGAGGAGAGGAAGTCCTCAAACCCTCTGATTTGACTCAGTCATTACCTGGCAGAGATGACATCTTGCAGGTGACAGTAAATGACCACAGGGATGCAGAAGAAGGCTCAGTGCACTGTTCGGTTACAGAGCTGGAAGAACATCAGCTTCGAGATTTAGCCTCTCGTTCAGAAGGTTCGGTCGAAGTGATCATCCAACCCTGCAGGTCTAATGACGTCACCAGCTCCCCTGACATAAAAACCTACCTGTCGGATGCAGAGAGACCCGAGCCTGAGGGAGAGGTCGCAATGCGAAGCAAAGAGATATGTGTTTGCACAGTTACTCCAGCCAAAGTGCAAAGCATACCCCCCTCAGAGTCTGATACACAAGAGACACAGCATTCATCCAAGGATTTGTTTGTAACAAGCTCCCCAGACTTGACTTCTGTCACACTGACCTCTGTTCAAGATTCCCTGTCGTTATCAGCGATCCCAGAGGGTATCAAAATACAAAGCAGTGGAGATGAGCAAGATCTGGAGATTCTGGTAGCTGGACTTGTATCTGGGGTCATCTCGGCAGCCACCCAGGAGGTCCTCAGTGTCACCAGGTGCCAGGTCACAGATGGCGACCAACAGGGCTTTATCAGCAGCACGGCTGTGCCTTGCTCTGAACAGGAGCCTGTTATTGCCCAGAACCATCACCATCCACTAACCAGCTCCTCTCCAATCAACGAGTCAAGAGGGGCAATAGAAAAAGGGATCACAAATGGATGCTCGTTAACTCCAATATCAGAGCCTGTTGAGGTCAGTCACAGGGATCTTAAGACGGACTCTGTACCGACTGAGTTCCTTATATCATCACAGGAAGCATCACAGAGTGCGTCTTCACTCAACACGAAACTCAGAGATGAGGCCGATGTAATTGCTGAGGACTCAGCATGCAGCACATTTGAGGAAGGCATCAGCAGCGAGGAGCTGCCCAGCAGCACGTATGACCATCAGTTGGATGTGATCCAAGTTACGGACTTGTCAGTAAAAGAGGCAGAGAGAGCCAAGTCACTAGTGGAGACTTGCACCAAGGCAATGGATTTGACAGAAATTGAAGAGAACTCAATGGGTGCTAAACCCAAGATCAAGCTTAATGGAGCAGGCCTCGGCTACAAAGCTCATGGGACAAGTGAGGTGGAAGCGGACCAATCAGGAGGTGAGGTTTTAATTTATGTTTGACCTTTTGTAAGGCCGCTGGTGCCGGCAGGGGCAGTTTTTCTTTGTAGTTATCTGGTAAAAAAGGATATTAAGTATAAATGTTTGGGTTTATTTTTTTAAATCAAGTTATCAGTTATACAAGTATCAGTTAAACCAGTAATTTTCTACAACGTAGAAACAGGAGGCTAAAAATACCGTTAATACGGTGTAAAGTAGTTAATATGTGTGAAGGTTTCTGGGAACAAATATTGAGCTTCCGTTATTTTTATGTTTAATAATATTGCATTTTAATCTGTAATTTAAAGTAGTTAAAATGTGTGAAGGTTTCTGGGAAGAAATATTGAGCTTCTGTTATTTTTTTTATCATTAATAATATTGCATTTTAATCTGTAATTAATTTTGTGAAAAGAGAGGTTGAACAACGACGTAGAATTGACTTCAGTGGGATGTTGCTGTCAATCAAAAAACAATCATTTTTTTTGTTGTATAAAGAAAATCTCAATGGACTATTTTAACTGCACCACAGTCTGGTGTGGTAAGATTGTTTGGAGGTTGAATTCAGCCACACAGCTTTACTTTGGTCTCCCACAGTGGTACTCGCCACCTCCCCAGGACCTTTGATGTCCATCTGTGCCATTAACCCTTGTGGTGAGGAGTAATGACACTACTGTGGAATTTGATCTTGCCAAGCTCAGAATACTTCTGCATCCCGACACCTTCAGGAAGCAGTGTGTCCCATGTTTGTTTGATGGTTTCACCTTATATATGTATGGTTACGGTATAGCTGTGCAGTCATGTAAATGTCAACTGATATGATGCAATTTTTTAATGGGCAAAGTGTTTCAGAAAAACATCTAGTAAGGAGCGGTTCCTGGCCTATTTTTCCTGTGGGGAAAAATACAGCAGAAATCTTCAGTGTTTGGACTACATCATCATTTAACATATTCCAAATGCAGGAGACTGACACCCTGCAGACATGTTGGGTTTTGTTTTGTCAAATTGTCAAAACAGGTTTTGAAATAGCTTCAAGAAACAGAGTAAGAGGTTTGTGGTAACATATTAACATAATAACATAAGATTTTACATTTTTTTCTTAAGCACAGTTGAGCACACACACCCTGAGTCTACACAGCCACACATTTGTTATTTATGCAGAAAAACAAACTGCTGACTAGCAGTACACATTGTCCTCCCCTGGAAAAGATTACCTTTTAACTGGGTCAAATGTCTCTAAATTCCAATAAAAGCAAATGCATTGTTACGAGAGCAAGTCATAAAGTTCAAATGTAAAAAAAAAAAATCTATGTATGCAAATAATTTCTCTACATTTCACCCATTTATGTCTAAACATTTAGGTTAGTGGCTTTGTAGAATTCTGAGGGATGTATTTAGCGTGTGGTCACAACCTGCTTCTTTGCCTCATCTTAGAACTGAAATTGAATTCATTGATTTCAGCTCTTTCAACTTTGGTGTCCCGTCCTAAAGCCTTATTTCCAAATAAGTGAGAACTCATAGAAGATGCTTGGATATTTGGTGACACTTGGTTGTCAGTAGTTGTTAGCATGCTAATTTGTTTCTACTTGTTGAGACCCAAAGGGCTGTGATGGTTTGGACGTGTGCTGAGAGACAGTGATTAGTTAAGATTAGAATGCAGTGAAAATATACATACCAATAAAACATTCAAGTGTGTGTGTATTCAAGTGACTTTCTCAGTGTACATTTGCTCACTTTGAACAAGACATTTCCTGAGGGTCTTCTTTAGAATATTCAGTGTGTGTGTATTCAAGTGACTTTCTCTCCATATAACAGTACACCTATGTAAAACATCACTTGATTGCTCCGAAAGTCAGTTTGTTCCTGACTGGCCTGCAGGGGTCAGTGTGTTGTGGCGGTTATGGTGACATGTTGGCTGTATTTAGATCATTTGTCTGTCTCTACTGTACAATCTGGGATAGAAAAACTGCTTTTGAATGAGAGTGTTCTATGTTGCTCAGAATTTGTGTGCACTTTGAATTGTTTCTGTCAGTTTCTTACCAGTACCAAAATGCAGTGCAAGTATTTTATTATTTTATTGTTATCTTTGTGTGTCTGTAGGCTCCGATGTAAATAGTATGGACTCGGTCGACAGCGGCTGCACTATGGGTAACGGGGACAACCAGAGCAACCACGCTGCCTCTCTGAGCTCCGAGCTCGTCATCTGGGAGATTGAGGTTCCAAAGGTGAGTCAGAGAGGCAAAAAAGCTTCCCAGTGGTTGGGATGGGACAGTAATTAACCATTGACCATCAAACTTATTTGTCTCTTTTCAATCCTGGTGAATGAAAGAGCCCCTCTCCCAGGTACTCTGGGAAATCTCAACCAGACCAGGATGCATTCTAATTTAGGTGTTAGTTTGTAATACATTAAAAGAAATAAAGAAATACTTCATGAAAGTTTATTAAGCACATGTGCTGCTGCTGCTCTGCTGTGTTTAAAACACTCTT